CCCGCATTAGCTGTTTCCAGGCCCCCCCTTCCCGGCCAGTACTGCTCCCTTTTTGGCCGGTTCCCCACCCTTCCCCAATGAAGTGGGCCGCTGTGGGGGAGGAGAACGGGGCGGGGCACTTCCCCCTTCCCCTCCCACTGGCACTCAGCTGAGTGTTGCGCGCTCAGCCGGGCTGCAGCGGGGGAACCCAAACATTCCCCCTTGGCTGCCCGCGCTGAGCGCGCAACACTCAGCTGAGCGCCATGTACGTCAGGGCCCCCCCCCCCTTCCCCTCCCTCCGTGGTGGCTCGGCCGAGTACTGCGCCACTTAGCTGGGCCGTGGCGCGGGAGCAAGCGGCAGGGAAGCGCGGACTCCAAACGGTGGCTTACCGCTGCTTGCTCCCCCGCCGTGGCCCAGCTGAGCGGCACAGCTCTTAGCTGAGCCGCCACGGACGGAAAGGGGGGCGGGGTGCTGATGTACACGGCCGGGGGCATGGCCGTGTACGTCAGCGTTACAGACTCTCAGACATTGGGCTACTATATATATAATGTCAATTTGTCAAAACTAAAACTTTTTATGGAAACTTATTTTGATGAAAGTGTATTTGAAACTGATTTCTCAGGTTAGGATGGAATGTTGAGGGAGATTGACCCCCAAGATAGCCACTAGTCCAGTGGTTAGGGCACTTGCCTGTAAAGTGGGAGTCTCTGTTTTATGTCCCTGCTCCAAAACAGGCAGAGTAGGGACTTGAACTGATGTTTCATATATCTTAGGGAAGTGCCATAGTTATTGAACTACTATTCTGGAGTGGGTGTTCTCATTTTTTTGCAAACATTTTGAAAAGTTTTGTTTTTCCTATTCTGAAACAGTAAATGTACTTAAATCTCAGATTTTCCCAGGAAAGTAAAACTTTCTCATCCAGTTCTAGTTTGGATTACTGTGCTATATTAGCAATTCTTAGATTGTGAGTCGGGACCCCAAAGTGGGTTGCAGTTCCCTTCGAATGTAGTTATCAGGGCTGGCTTAGACTGCATACAGGGCTAAAGCTTGAGCCACACTTCCTAGGACAGAAGTCAAAGCCCCAGGGCTTCTGCCCTGAGAGGCACGGCTTAGATTGTAGACCACCTGCCTGGGGCTAAAGTCCTTGAGCTTCACATTTGGCTCCCCTGCCCAGAGTGGCGAGGCTTGGGCTTCGGACCTTCAACTAAGGCTAGAGCAGGTTCAGGTTTCCCCATCCTGGGGTCATGAAGTAACTTTTGTTGTCAGAAGGGGGTCACAATGCAATGAAATTTGAGAACCCCTGTGCTATATAAAAGCACTAACTGACAGCCAAATAAATACCACAGGTTGAAACTCTGGGCACCCTTGGGACCTGACTGGTCCCGGATGAGGGATTTTGCTGGACCAGGAGATCATTTCTGGCCCTCCTGCTGCCGGCCCCAACTTCTGCCCTGCCACCCCATCTGGCTTCCCAGCTCCCCTGCGTAGCTCAACTGGGTCATATGCCAGGCTTCTGGGTTCTCCCCCTCTGCCCCACTCCCTGGCTCAGCTGAGCTGCATTCTGGCTCCTGTCCCCTCCCTTGCCCAGCTAGGCCATGCACCAGGCTCCCTCGCATCCCATGCGTTGTGCTAGGCTCCTAGAGCCACCCACCGTTTTTCCCTATGCAGCACACTGGGACTCTCTGATCCTGGAACATTCATGGATGTTGCCAGACCAGAGAGTCCTAGTTTATAGAGGTACAACTGTGCAGATGTCAGTGGTCTCAAAACAGGCTGCATGTTTTACTTTTTCCACCAGAGGGCACATAGCTGCAGCTGGAAAAGGATTTGGAAACCTATATTTTTGTTACCAAAGTGAGTAACTGTGAAAGAGGAGAGAGCTCTGATGACTAAGTAGAACAAAGTTGTGAGTTAGTTCTTGGTAGGTATGTGGCACACTTGCAGATTCTGGTGGGAATTCATGGTGATTCCATGTAAGTACAGCTGCTAGCATATTATTTGTTTTTCTAATTCTCTAATTTTTAGAATAACTAAAATCTCATTTTTTATGTTTTCAAATTATAATTAGAAATGTGTGCCATATTCCAGTTGCATTCTAAAATAACATTTTTTCCTGTTAACATTTTTAAAATTATAGTTTTCAATGAATGTCTTATAGCACATTATGTAGAATATACAACTTACTTTTAAATCATTTATCATCACTTACAGGGTGCTAATCTGACTTTTCTGAGTTGCAATCTTAGCCTTCCAGAAAGTATTAAACAGAATGCAATATTTACCCTTCGTGTCACAAATATTGATGAAGCTGCAATGGACATTCTAAAGTAAGTGCAATAGATTAGTTTTTTTGGATTAGTTCTCTTTTTTTGCAAATATCTTCCCAACTGAAGAATTTATATATAAGCCTTAAGTACATACATATTATTTATTAATTATTGCTAAAAGTTTCTGCATTTAGTCTCTTGTTGGAAAGAACTAGACAGCTGATGAAATAGTATTGAGGTAATGTACAAAGGATCCTTTAACTATTTGTTGGAGTGGCAAAGATTATATTCCTTAAAGGTCTTTTTCACTGTATTTTGGTGCTGAATTTGAATTTAAAGACAAATGATCTAGATGCAAATTGCATATTAAAACCTTTCTGAAGGTACTTATGGTACCAGATTGATTACTTCATTTGAAAATACAGCAGCAAACCCTATTGCCAGCTCTGTCCACATATCTATATAAGTGACACCATCACAGGACCTAACCACATAAGCCACCACATCAGGGATTTGTACAACTGCACATCCTCTAATGCAGGGGTGGCCAATAATTTTTTACCCGGGGCCACCTCAGAAATTTTTTAAGTGGGTCTGGGCCGCTGTGGAAGGGGGGTGGGGCCTCGGGTGGAAGTGGTGGGGCTGCGACACTTCCACGCTTCCCCACCCACAGACCTTGATTGGTCTGGGGGTGGGGAAGTATGCAAAATCTTTGCTGTACCCCCCCAGAGAGACTTGCCAGCTGTTTTGAATAGCTGGTGGTTCCCTCTAGGTACCCGTGCCCCTGGCAGTGGGAGGACACTTTACGTGCTCTCCCCTGCTCTCCCCAGGTCAATCGGTCTGGAGAGGGGGAGCATATGAATTCTCTTGCTCCCTGCCCCCACCCTGCAAGGAAGCGCTGTGCTTAGAGTCAACTGCTAGCTGAGCAGAAGCTGTCAGTTGACTAAGTGCTGAACCTCTTGCAGGGTGGGAGGAGATTTCACGCGCTTCCCCCACCCCCATGCCCTGATTGACTTGGGGGCAAGGGGAGTACGTGAAGTCTCCAGCCACCCTGTCCGGTGCTTAGAAGCACCATGCCCCTCTCAGGGTGGGAAGAGACTTCATACACTTCCTCCTGGCCCCAGGCCAATCAGGGCTTGCCCCTCTCAGGGTGGGAGGAGACTTCGCGTGCTCCCCCCCAGGCCCTGATTGGCCTGGGGGCAGGGAGAGTGGCAGGGACTCCGTGGGCTGGATCAACTTGCTTGGTGGGCTGGATCTGGCCCACAGAGGCCCTTTTGCCCACCCTTGCTCTGATGTGATGTTATCAAATACCAGCAATGCTCCTCTGCCATGTATGTTGGTCAAACTGGACAGTATCTGTGATTAAAGGATTAATGGACATAAATCAGATGTCAGGAATGGTAACACACATAAACCTGTAGGGGAATATTTTAACCTCCTTGGACATTCAATAATGGATTTAAAAGTAGTCATTCTTCTACAAAGGAATTTTATCTCCCAGTTACAGAGGGGAAACTGCTGAACTGGAATTCATTTACAAGTTTGACACCATCAACTTGGGCTTGAATAAAAATATTAACTGGTTAACACACTCCAAAGTCAATTTCCTATGCCTTTAATATTTGCATTTACACATTAAAAGCTATGAATGGGACACATCCAGCCTGACTCAATTAGCTTAGCATCATTAACACTGGTCCTGCTATTGACAGGAAACTGCTTTTGCTGTTATATATACTATGCATTCTGTAATTTCCACTCCAACTCATCTGATGAAGTGGGTTTTACCTATGAAAGCTCATGATATAATATATTTGTTAATCTCTAAGGTGCTACAGGACTGCTCATTGCTTTTAAAGTTGCATACTAACACTACCCCTCTGAGACTTTTCATTTTAAAGAGTACACCTTCTGATTGTTATT